CAATGAGAGACTAGGTGAAGCCAGGGATGGAAGCAGTGTGGCCGGCTGGGGGTACCTGGGTGTAAACACCAGAGGTGATAGGAAATTGCATGAGGTAGAGGTTGAAATCCAGAGCAACAAAGACTGCATCTCTCGCTACCCACATTACAATAACACCATCCAGACATGTGTGGGGCCCCAAAGAAGATTCAGACTCCTTATCGGGTAAGATTCCATCCTTGCCCATGCCCGGCTCTGGGCACAGTTGAGCTTTAAAGAGACCTAGGCATTGAGAACTAGCCATACGCCTATGTCCTGAGACTTTCCCCCAATCCAGTCCCTGGTGCTGTCTCCCTGGGGGGAATGAGAGGCTGTCCCACAGCCACATAGGGACAGAGGCTTTATGGAGAAGGGAGAAGGGAACCATCAGAGCCAGGCTGGAACCCTAAAACCTAGGAAGGCAACAAGGCCTGCCCTGGCACTGGCCTCTCATGCAGCCCCCTAACAGAGGCCACCCGCCCCTGGGGCAAAAGGAGGGGAGCACCAGGAAATAGCCCAAATCAGGCCCTCACCCCTCTGCACACAGGAGGGTTCTGGGGGCCCCTCATATGTAACAACATGGCCCAAGACATTGCCTCCCACAGAAAATACAACGGGAAACCTCCAGGAGTCCAGGTCAGGATCTCGAAGTTTTTGCCCTGGATAGAAAGAACAATGAGGCGCGTCAAACTGCTGAGACCAGAATGAGGCACCCCGGGATTCATCCATCCATCTCTCTGGGGCACAGGCCAATACCGCATTGGGCAGAGAGGGTGGCGGGGACTCGGTCACCTACTTAATAAACTTCCATCTCTTGACTGAAAATTATTGATTCCACCTTTATTCACCAAAACATTTAGTAGTTAGCTTCTGTTGTGTCTGGCAACCATCTGTTCACATCTGATCTCTTATAGGTTTCCTTCCCCCTTCAGCGTAACTCGTGTTTCATCTCTACAATACAAAATCATGCTGCATTGATACCAAACTCCTTCTGAATACACCTCCCCAGTGCCAGCTCCCCCTGCCAGGCTGAATATAAGTTCCATCTGTTAAAAGGAGACAAATCCACAGGAGAAAGTGGCCCTCTTCTATAAAACCCTCTTATCTCACCCATATTCCTCTCCTACTTCGTTCCACACCTAAACCCTACCCCACTAGCAGAACCCAGGGCCAATACGCAGCATTAAAGAATCCAGAAACTGAAAGAAGGATGAGTTAAGAAGCTCTGGGGAAGGAAGCCATTTCTCCACCACAACAAAAATGGATAGGAAGCTCTTGGAAAGGTGTATTTTCACCCCATGAAGCACTCCTTTCCCAAATCACAGAGCTTGGAAGCCTAAGAAGTTTCAGGAGGGTTCTTCAGTACACCCAGGCCCAGCTCAAGTGCCTGTCACAGCCCTGTCTTGGGCCCAGAGCTCAGCGCTACCTCTGGTATCCTGGCAGCCCATCCTCCCACAGCCCAAAATGACCTTGAGCTTGTTTGAGCATGCTCTTCCATCTTGGTCTGAGACAGCCTCTCCTCACCTCCCTGTGTGTGTGTGTGTGTGTGTGTGTGTGTGTGTGTGTGTGTGTGTGTGTATCTCCAAAGGAAACTCACTATAATGAAAAGTATTAGTTTCAAGGGTATTTTTCGGTTGATACAAAAGTATCCTATAGCATGAAGCGTATTGAGGAAATTTTTTCTTCTATTTTTTAACACTCTCCTGCAAAGTAGGTTGTTCATAGGAAAGCACTTGACAGAAGATTCGAAGATACAAAAGACAAGTAAAATCTCTCACTCCAACCTAGGAAAGAACACCTCAGACGAACCGCCTGCAGTAGTGAGAGTTGTCCCTGGACCAGCTTCAGAACCAGTTAAAATTCTGTGTCCTCTACCCACCCTGTACCTGCCCAGGAGAGGAATGCAGGTTGTGACTCAGAAATGGCTAGCTGACGGCACACAAAGCTCGCCGGTTTCCTTGGCTCTGCCCCAGAGCTGGCAGGCCGTTTCATCCCCATCTTCCCCTGGCTTTCTTAGGGCCTTGGCTGCTCCACTCCTTTGCCAGTGCCCTCTCCCTATTTTTGTGGCTTTGAATTCCACCAGCCTGGTCCCCACCAATCCTCAGCCAGAAGCTAATTGAAGGCCATGCATTGATGCAGTCAAAAAATGCCTACTGAGAACCTAAGGTGTGTTAGGCCCCAATGGGAGGATTTTAACAATTCAACTGCATAGCTCATGGGTAGATCATGAGAGACTAGCACCCATCAGGATTTCACCAGAGGCTCAGAGCAGTCAGGGAGACTCACTGTGTCCTGTCCGCATTACCTGGGGCTCCAGCCTCTCCAAGATAGTCTCACCTCCTCCATACGTGTGTCTGCATAGGACTTGGAGAACAAGCACTGCCCCTTCTTCTCAAGGGGGATTCGAAGGCTTGAGGTTCAGAATACATGATTCTGCTGCAAGAAGACCTGGGAGACCTTCCCCGATTGTCTTCAAGACACACCTCAATCATCACCTCCCTAAGCCTTCGATCCCACCATATCCACTGTCAGTCACCACCTTCCAGCCTTTTCCTTCAGAGGAAATCAGCGGGGAACATGAGGCCAAGCCCCCAACTGCCCCTACATGGCCTACATTCAGTTTCTGGATAAGAGAAAGAAGAGGTGCCGCGGTGTCCTTGTGCAGGAGAACTTTGTTCTGACAACTCCCTACTGCAATGGAATGTGAGGAGTTACAGCCAGCCTATCCCTCCAAGACCCCTACTTGGACCCCAGTCCTTTCCACAGTGGCTGCATCCAAGTTGAGCTCCCCAGGCTCCTGGTATCTCAAAGCACAAGAGATCATGAGAGGAGCCCTATGAGACTGTGACTGGGCAAAGAAAAGCTGAGAAATACGACAGGTAAGCTGGGCTCAGAGGCTCAGAGGTGAGAACAAGTGGCACAGTTGAGAAGACAAGGACCACACTGGCCAAATGCAGCAAGGGTACTAGATGCATTAGGGTCAAAATGCAAACTCAAGGAATGTCATGAATCTGTGTGATGGCAAGGCAGAGTTCCCAGAAGCCTGACCCTCAGTGACCTTGAGAGCAGAGAGGACAGAGACACTCAGCCCCTGGCCCAATTGTTGCTTGGATATCCCAAAACTGCAGCCCTGCCCCGCCTCAGCTCTCACCTACCCTTCACCGCTCCTGGGCTTATTTTCTGAGACTCCACGCCCAACACATCCCCATTCTACTCTCTGTGCAGCTCAGTCATTGTCACGGATGGGCGGACCACAACATCAAGGAGCAGGAGACCCAGCAGGTCATCCAGGTGACAAGAGCCATCCCCCACCCAGACTATAATCCCAAGAACTTCTCCAGTGACATCATGTTACTGCAGGTGAGGAAACGTCCAGCTGCTCTTGCTCTCCTGGGTCCAGATTGTTTCTCCTCTCACTGGGACCTTTCCCTTCCTTTTTTCTCATACTGGTCACCAGACAAATCCCAGGGCCTCAGTGGGGGAAGCAAGACAGTGCAGCCCATCGTGGTGTCCAGGCCCTGGGGTCAATGGCTGACCTGAGCTGCCTTGCCTCTTCCCATCGGCTAGAGAGAAATATCAATCTGACTAGAGCTGTGAAGCCCCTCCACCTCTCCAAGGACAAGGATTGGGTGAGGCCAGGACAGAAATGCAGTGTGGCTTGCTGGGGCACGTCTCCCTGATGGGCACATTACCAGACAAACTGCAGTAGGTGGAGCTGACTATGCAAGTTGACTGGGAGTGTGAAAACTACTGACAAAATTATTATGACTGTGCCATTCAACTGTGCATGGGGAACATGACGGGAAAGTAGCCTTCCTTTCAGGTGAAAAAGCTTGACTAGCTTGGCTCTGAAAAGAAGGGTGTTTGGGGAAGGACAGGGACCTGAAGACCCAAGC